CTGATCACAAACAGTGAATTATGTTTATTGTCAGTTTAACTGCAAACACTTTTGCCGTACTGAAAGTCTGCCAGTCCCTGAAAAAGAGTTTGAGCTTTTTGTTGTCTTCTTGTTTGCCTGTTTTGAACAACGATACAGTAAACGTTGCCATTTTCTTGCCTGGTTTGTCTATGCATTTGAAAGTTTATGCTGGAAAACTCTCACTTCCTAATTCCTTGTCTTTTTTTTTTCATGTCACCTCATCTCTCTTCTTCACCAAACTTTATCTCAACATTTTTTTTTTCTCTTTCCTCTCCAGGTGGTGAGTCCGGCCGCTGCTTTACCATCGCATATATCATGCCCATGAATGTCCAGTTGACATCAGAGTCCACAGTAAATGTGCTCAGTGAGTAACAGCTCCAACGTCCAAACAGCAGCTTCTTCAGGCTTAATAACTCAATCTGCCTCCTTGAGGGTTTTCACATAAACTGCAAGGGATATTTTTTATGGCAAAAACTTGTATTGTGCTCCCTAATCCATGCATGATCTGAAGGCAGCCAGACAGATGAGTCTGAGTCATCATTTGGCTGCTCCTCTCCAGAATAGTGCTTTTTCACAGACAATTCACCTCACAAGCCCTTCAGCTTAAGTGTTACCGAAGGATACATCCACTGAAGTGGATAAGTGTAATAAGCTCTAATACTGTACTCCAGTTATCTTTGTTTCAATACTTACTGTTCCTGGTTCCTCCCAAAAGAACCATTATATAGGCTAGTGGTTTAACCTCTATAAAGACACTTTTCTATCAAACATGACAAATGAAAAAGGCTGCTGTATAATTGGGGTAGATCAACAAAACAATGCTTACATGCTTAAAGTGTCTTTAAGTATTTCCTGCATTAGTTTTTACACTCAGATTTACACAAACGTCTGTTGGATGTTTCGGGGTTTAAACAGCAGTTCTCTTCTCTGCAGAGATGATCCGCTCAGCCACTCCTTTCCCTTTGGTCAGCCTCTTCTTCATGTTCATTGGCTTCGTCCTCAACAACATCGGGCACGTTCGTCCTCACCGCACCATCCTGGCGTTTGTCTCTGGAATCTTCTTCATCCTCTCGGGTACACGGATCTTCTTTCCTCTCGTACCTCTTGCCATGTTCCTGTCCTCTCTTCTTTTCGTCCAATACTGAATTTAATATTAATGTATTTGTCTCTCTCAGGTCTGGCTCTGGTGGTGGGCCTGGTGCTGTACATCTCCAGTATAAATGATGAAATGCTGAACAGGACTAAAAGCAGTGAGGCCTATTTCACCTATAAGTACGGCTGGTCCTTTGCCTTCGCTGCCATCTCCTTCCTGCTCACTGAGGTGAGCAGCTGCCCATAGATACAAATGACATGTGACAGGCAGTGATTATGGCACAAAATATTTCAGTCAACAGGGAGAACACGATGTGTGCACCATTGTCCCGAAATGTTAAAGGACAGACACGTAGCATGCAGCTAAACAGTAAAATGATAAAATATCAAATTTTGACATTTAAAAAAAATATCCACACAGACCATAACCATTGTTTAGTTTACACTGCATCCCAAAAATGGGCTAATGCCCTGGACTTTTACTGTAGCAGGAACAGAGAGGTGAATGCCCATTTTATTAGGTACACCTGTATAGTATAATGCAATCAGTATAACTGTTCTTCCATGAAGTTTACTTTTTATGTTGCCTAAATATTCAGGGTTTTTGACATTTCATTTTGGAATTTTAGCATTGACATTATAGTTAGTGGTTTCATTTAATTTACACATTTCCAACAATGTTACCAAAAACTGAGCTTTGTAAATATAGATGTTATGGCAGGGCTGATGCATTGGACTGGATTAGGTTTTGCAGGTGTACCTAATAAAGGGGATACCTACTCTCTGTTTTGTCAACCTTCAAGATATATTTGGTGTGAGTATTAGAAAAACTACTGTCTCTTTTGATTTCATTTTTAAGTTTTTACCGAAAAAAATATATATATATACATATTTTTGCCACAGGTTGACCTGAGTGTATGATAAATCACATGTGTTCACTGCCCTCCAGTGGTCACAGAAGGGAACTGCAACACTGCATTAAATTAATGGCCAACACACATTGTTAATATCAGTGTAATTGTTAGTAAAATCAATACCTTTCAACGCAAATCCTGGTGTGAAGACCAATCTACCAGCTAGAGATATTCACATAACTTTGGGGTCCAAATCGCAAACTAGCAAAAATGATCAGTTTAGAACTGTTTTAATGACAGTTTTCTGCTCTGGAAATGTATTTAGACTTCTAGAAAGGGGGATTGAATTTGTGATGCTATGTTTAAATGCATTATATTGTAAATTGCAGTGTTTCTTTATGATAGCACACATGAGCTAAGTTTCATTGACTTTATTTCAATCTAATGTGTCGCTCTACACACTGCAGAGTGCAGGCGTCATGTCCGTGTACCTGTTCATGAAGCGCTACACAGCAGAGGAGATCTACCAGCCTCGTCACCCCAGTTTCTACCGCCCTCGCCTCAGCAACTGCTCTGACCACTCGGGCCAGTTCCTCCACCCAGAGGCCTGGTCGCGTGGGCGAAGTCCCTCCGACATCTCGAGTGAAGCTTCGCTGCAGATGAGCGCCAGCTACCCCGCTCTCCTCAAATGCCCCGACTATGATCAGGTCTCCTCTTCACCCTGCTGAGGTGAAGGGGTTGTCCATCACAGCAGAGACCAAGTAAAGGTGACTAAAGAGTCACTGAAGAATCACACAGGGCACAACACACAAGGCCCAATGAGGACAGTTTTCCTTCAAGAAAAAGATATTTAACTGTGAGTCTGATGTTTTTCGGGGAGAAAAATATGTGCAGCTGTGACTGTGGCCTAAGGACTTTGGAAATAGGTCCTTCTGAGCCGCTTTTGGCATTTTATCGGGTCACAGATGCTTATTGGAGATTTATTGTCGTAGCAGAACCTGTTTTTTTCTAGGTGAAGGCAAAGTCTACAGCTTTTTAGCAAAAACAAACAATACCTAGTCGTGGTGTTATTCTTTCTGCAGATGTCTTCAAAATATAAAATTAATTCCATTTTGAACTTAATCTGAAAGGGGGGGAAGGTTCTGTATTTTAGTTTAATTGTATCTGTGCATTTTACCCTTGAGTGCCTCATAGCTGTTTCTTTTTTTCTCAATATCTTGGCTTCCTCATTTTGTGATGAATAAATAAATGTTCCTCATGCCTTAGGTCCTTCTAGCACTTAACTGTGGCAGTACAGATGTATCAGGTCACACTGCAAAAAAAACAACCTAACCTCCCACATTGGGCAAACCCAAATCTTTCTCCCAAAGCAAACCACCACAGAGTAAAGCCCAGAAGAAAGAATGATCCATCACCACTATTAAAACTATCAGACAGCAGAGCAGGTCCTGGAAGGAAACAGGATCAAGATCTCCTGTCAATCCTGCTGATGTGTTGTTGGGTTTGCTTGTTGCTTTGTATCCATGTAGAGATGCTGAATCTGTAGGCAAGAAGAGAATCCCCCTATGATGGTTACAACAATAATACATGATGAAAATGTTAATTTCCAGATGTAATCATATGAGGACTTTTCCAGACTAAAACCATCTGAGACCATACGTGTTTATTTTATATAGATTTTATATAACATGTACAGTTGTTGCACATTATATGATATTATTGTAAGAGTTGATGTGAAGATGATGCTGCATATTAAGTGCTGTTATTCTGAGTGTCGGTCTTGATGTAGCTACGCTGAGGAGAATTTATCTTTAAAATAAATGTCTGCTAACAAACATAACAGCCTGTAGTTTTTTTTGCTCCCAACACAATGATTCTACATTTATCCACTGGGAGGCAGTGTTTTTTATGGATACCAGGTCCCACTTTGTTTTACTGTGTTTCTTGATAGTATGAAGCACTCAGGGTTTATTAGTATAAATGTGTATAAATGTTCAGATGATCCAGGTGGTCAAATGGATTACAGTGGTGGGTCTGATTTCAGACATGTCACACATCACAGTGCTGGAATATAACCAAGTAACCTACATTTACTCAAGTACTGTACTTAAGTACAAATTTGAGGTACTTTTTACTCCACTACATTTGTATGACAGCTTTAGTTACTAATTAGATTACTATTTTACATACCCTTTCTTTCCAGTGAAAACCATCTCCATCTTCTAACTGGATGAATAAGTTCCTAAATGAGGTAAGAAAACTGTCCTACTTCTTAAACTAAATATTAATAATATTTATACTCCCTTGGATCACCTACATAACGAGTACTTTTACTTTTGATACTTGAAGTGCATTTTGCTGATAATACTTTTACTTAAGTAAGGTTTTGAATACAGGATTTTTACTTGTAGTGGGTGTATTACTTAAGTAAAATGATAATGACTCAATACTTGTTCCACCACAGGTTTGGGAAATGTTCATTGTGTAAATCCTCATATGCAAAACATTTCTGACCAGTTGTCTCAAATTGTATTGACAGATCCACTCAACTGCTTTTAGAAGATCTCTACACAAGATATAAAATGTAACTGAGGAAAGTAGTTGAGAAAAACTGTAATACAACAAGGCTGCCTTTACTGGGATGACATCAAACCTTCATAATCAGTACATTTATGTGGCTTGTATTCACATTTGCATATCTTCTTATATTTATTATTGTCATTATTATTGACTCTATGACTTCTGTCAAAAAACAGTAGAGGTCGCTCTCTCCCCACTCATCCTGCTTCACATCTTTCCACACAGATTTCTCTCAGGGTTTGTGTTTTTCTTTGCCTTTCCTGTTAATTTACTACATATTCGACCAGGTTGAATTAAACACCAGAGCTCTGCATGATGGAGGTTGACATGATTTACATCCAGAGAGTTTGACAAGACACCTCAGGAGAAGTATCTGTATATATCAGTGACAGCTCATTACCTATGCAAATATGTGGGGGTCAAGACCAACATCAATAATAAATACACCTTACATCTGCTTTATGAATACTTTATATAGATACACGTAATGTACAACGTGACCGATAGCTTTTACAGAGAATATAAAAGTTAATGTAACTATAAGCCCACACAGGGCGGTAGAACATAATATTCTGCCCTGACCACAAGGCTTTCATTATATTTTACAATCACATAGAAAACTACTGGTGTTTATAGTTTTTGACATCATCATCAATGATATTATCATCATCATCACTGATATTACTTTACTATAATCATCATCATTAACATCAAACATCATTTTCACTATAATCTTTATCATCATCATCATAAATGCGACCATCTTTCTCTCTCATCAGTCATGGCTTTTTCACAGCATCGTCACAGTTATTGTCCAACATTCTCTTCATCATCGTCATTATGTTTTTCTTATGATTATGTTTAAGGCTTTTGTAAAGAAGACCCCAAACTTCTGCTTGTAGGCTTAAACTTGTTACAGAGTGTGCATACTACAACAAAGAGACCAGAAACCTAAACATTATATATATATATATATATATATATATATATATATACATATACACACATACATACACATACATATATACATACATATATACATACATACATACATACATACACACATACACACACACACACACACACACATACATAACTTAAGCATATATTGTTTAACAATTTACAGGTAGTATTAAAGCATTTCACAAATGAAAATAAATACAAAACGATAGCGGGTTATACTACTTATATATATATATATATATATACTTTTAAAGAGGAACATAAAAAGCAAGCAAGGATCTTTATGATTACAAACCAAATGCAAACAGGATCACAACAGTACATGGACCTTCATAGACATTGGGGGAAAAAAGCTTAATCAGACTGGTACCCTATTGGGCCATTGCACAGCCATAAATAAAACCTACCCAGTAAAATGAAAAGACTTTCTCAAAGTGCTTTTTTTAAATGTTGAAATCCTTAAGATTTTGAAAACACCATTTTTTATACTAATTATGGTCAGCATTTAATCTGCAATAGCCAATTACATTAGTTTTCATTGGTCCGCCATTCCCCTGATTTAAAATTGCCTTCACACGCACAAAGGGTTTAAAATTTTTACAAGAGAGAAATTGAACAAGAAGGTGCAGCCACATTAAAAGCTGCACACCTCCAACTCCTCAGCAAGGTAACTAACTTTACTCTGGCCTGATGTTGTGTGAACTACTATTGCTGTATGCAGCATGAAATCACATCATGCAATCATTTCTGACTGGCTTCTTTGTTACGACTTTGTTTGGCTGCACTGTAAACTGATACGCCAGTTGCTCTTCTGCTGCATTTCTGACAAAGTGGCTGCTTAGTGATTGTCTGCTGTAGTTTTAACTGCACTTGCTGTTACCACCATTAAACACGGGTGTCGCCAAATCAAAACAGGACTGAAATCTTAAGGATTACAACTTTAAATACAAAAAGCAAGCTTTATCTCAAACTACGGCAAAAGCTCCTTTTCTACTTAACTAAAATAAAAAAGTATGCACATTTCAAAATTCTCTGCTCCGTATGTATAAATGAAATCAGCCCAGCTGACTCAAGACTGTAATGCTTTGTTAGGAACCTAAATGTAAGCCAGCACTGTTTTCTGAGGTCACTCTGAGCATGGCACCTGTAGAGAAGAATTCAGCACCAGAGTAAGATGTTGATATGGTCCAGGTGAGGCTATACTGCACTAGTCTACCCACCAACTCCCAAATGTTTCTTCTCTTCCCACACTCCTTCCTCCAAACGTGCCCTGTGTAATTGACCAAACATCTGAACTCTGATTTTGAATTACAACTTTTTCTTAAAGCACAGTGGAGGGAACGCTTGTATGACTGATGCACCCATACTGTAGATGCTGTGTGCATTGATAGCATGCACACTGCTGCATACACACACACACACACAAACAAACACAAACCTATTGGTTTATAATAACCCACATGCATGCATGTGCACCTGAAACATGGCAGTTGTGCTTTAGGGAGACCTAGAAACATGTTATGACCATGAGAGGGGGAGTAGGGGGTGTGTATGAGATGGAGGAGAAACTAACTGGCTGGTTGGTTGTTTATGTACTGCTCCATGCAAGAATCAAGTCCATAGCTTCCTGGAGCTGTGCTGTCCCCTCAGCAGTGTGTGATGTCTCCCCAGCAAGTGCACACGACTTGCAGATAGTCCGGGGGATTAACTGAGGGTTGTCTTCGGGGGCAAAGTCTTATCTGTTGTTGACAGTCATTTCTGTGGTGTGTGATTTGTTTATGAACTGAAGGAGAGAAAGATGGATGCGGTGGAGGTTAAGAAGATTGTCCTTCTTCACTTCTTGTTGGCGATACGTCTCTTCCTGGTGGCCAGCATGTCGTAGAAGGGATCTCTGCTAATGCTGGCCCTGGAGAGGAAGCCAATCAAAGGACAGCAATGAAATAAATAATAAGGCCACATGAGAGGAGGGTCTCGAGCATCTTTGATATGGAAATGTAGGCACATTTATACAAACCCCTGCCATAACTAGATCAAAAAAAGAACAAAGTTTGTGCAGTGACCTAGTTTGGTTTCCATGGTTTCTGAAGAGGAACCCCCTCCCCGCCAAGTTTTTTCTTGGTACTCCAGTTTGCTGGAACCTCCTCCAGAACTCTGCCAAGCTCGTAGTAAAACACACAAACACTCTCCCTCCTGCTATTCTGCAGGTTTATAGGTCTGAAGGAGAGCCAACAATGATACTTAAGATTACTGACTGTTCTGCGTTCTCCTGCTCCCCTTTTTAGAGCGATGGAAAGGCAGCGCACAATGAGAATGAGAGAGTGAGGAAGCCATTTGGGCTCCACTGAGGAGCCCAGTTTCACGGCTGCTCAATCCTGTTAGCACCAGCACAAAGCAAGAAGAGGATCAACCCCCCACTGCGGGTATCTCTGATTCCCTTTACAACGCCACACGCTGAAGAAAGAGTCAGTGTATATGATGACTATCCCGATCTTTCATACTGCTCATTGTCATTTAGCGCAACCTAATTTCATGAAACAAAACCTCCATTGTAGAGTGAGCAAATCCAAGCAAGGCTGCCATGCCTAATACGACATAACATTTCCTCAATTTCTGTCCTTAAAAATATGTAAAAACCTAATATATTTGATGGAATGGGAATTCTAAATCATTAAGACACACACTCTCTTCTTTTATCAACACATTGCATTAATTTATGAGAGCCCGATTTCTCCGCTGACCCAGTTGGCCCAACATCATCTGGGTCAGTGTGTTTGAGACTCAAGATGTGATCATCTCTACTTTAAAAGAGGGGGGAAAGAATCATTTCCATAAAAAGCCTTTTTATCTCCCCAGACCCCAAGTCCTCTTGGACCCCTCTAGTTAAGCAATGGCTGGTTAGGTTCCATGGCTGCAAATGCGTCAGCCCAGTTTGGAGCTGCCTCTCCTGGACAGGTTTGCTGGCTCACCCCTGGGTTGCTTTAAGAAGTGACTAATCCCCTATCATTCCCCCAGTACTCTTTGAGAGTATGGATAGAGGGGGAGGGGGGGATTGCACTATATTACAGTATATAACATTCTGTTCTGCTGAGCCAACTCTCTTTGACATTGCACCATCTTCTATGCAGGCGATTACAGAGCAACATTTAGGTCACAGACAGCAAGGTTATTATTACAGAGAGCTACAGTTGCCTATGTATGGTGTCTCACAGAAATAAACCACACTTCTGTCTAAATAAAATACTGTAATGACATACTCAGTACAGATTTAGCTAGTTTTTAAACAACATATGAGTATATTTCGTGGGTTTCTTCTACATCAGCACTGTTCTTGTAAATATTCTCATTTAGACTTCATTTAAAGTATAATGGGTACAAAAAGTTTTTGATTCCGGGCAGAAGATGGCTTCAGCTGGCAGCCGTGAACCAGCTACAGTGGCTGCAACGTATTTCTTAGGGGAAATTGTGCGCATCAAAAATACCAAAATTACCAAAATTATTTATTAAAGGGGAAATACCATTTTTTGGCTTTCTTACCTAACTTAAGAGTGAGATGAAAAGAGTGATACCACCAAGCTACATTTACAGCCAGATGCCATTTAGCTTAACTTAACACAAAGACTAGAAACGGGGGAAACAGCTAGCCTAGCTCTGATTAAAGGTAACAAAATCCACCTAACAGCACCTCTAAAACTCAACAAGTCAGTTTCACACTTATAGATATACAGATAGAACTTGTGAATTAGTGAGCCTTAGAGATGCTGGAGTGCAAATGTGTTACTCTGGGACAGAACCAGGCTGTTTCCCCTCCGTTTCCAGTCTTTGTGCTAAGTTATAGCTAACTATTCCTTTATTATTTTACTGGACTATGTTTGGTATTATTTTAAATAGTACCCTCTTGGTTTTCATTCACACCTAGTTGTGAGTCTGTCTGACAATAATAGAGCTCATTTGAGCTCTTCAAAGTCTCAGTGACACATTTCTCCACAATTGTCATATTTGTTTTCTGTGACATTACATACCCAAATTTTAAAATCTGAATACTCACTAGATTGCAAGGAGATCAGTGAATAAATATATAAACAAGGGAAATGTTGGGAGCTGGTCCATGTACTATATTAAAACAATAGTTTGACATTCTGGGAAATGTCCTTTTTGCGAGAGTTGAGTGAGAAGATTGATACCACTCTCATGTCTGTCTGTTAAATATATGTCTCTGGCTTAGCCTAAAGACTGAAACAGAGAGAAACAGCTAGCCTCTGTCCAAAGGCAACACAACCCACCTATCAGCACCTTTCAAGCTCACTAATTAAAACATTATATCTTGTTTATTTAATTCATACAATAGTTTGAATAGTTTTTTTATGTCGCCAAACTCAGTAACTTCATGTCATCACTGTGAGGTTTCCAGACTGCACATGGAGACTTGAAATGAATAAACCTCACCTTTGATTTAATTGTGTATTTGTGAGGAGTCTTACTTGATAGATTTTATCCACTCCTCTTTCTCTTCCGGTGTGGGCGCCGATATCCTGTACACCACATGGTTGCCCTCAACCACACGCCCATCTGCCTCCGTCTTGCAGGCTTTAATCACCTGGCCTTTGTGATTGGGGTTATAGAGCTCAAAACAGTTCTGGAGAACAGACAAAGAGCAGGGCATCAATAATTTGCTACGACTGTGAGAAAATTAGACTTGACTGCACACTCATCAAAAAAAAAAAAATTCTTATAATTAACAATTATCCAATAAACACAGTAACAGAGGAGAAAAGAAACTTCACAGATAATTTAAGGGTGAGGTCTCTAACGAGGAAACACTCACAGGTTTCCTGGGCTCCTCCACCTCCCTGATGCTGAGATTCTCAAGCGGGATGATCCCACGAGGCTCTTTGTCCTAAAGGAGAGGCGGATGAGAAGGAGGGAGAAAAACAACCAAGTAATTACAAAGAGAGGGAGAGCGGGAGAGGGATGACGAAGTAAGAAGCAAGCAAAAAAGAAATAATATAGATCAGAAAAGTAGCAAAGAGGCAAAAAAGAAGTGTTCAAGAATCCTATAAAATGAAGAAGAGAAGAGTGAGGTAGGGAAGAAAGGATAAATCCTCTGTGCCAGCATGGAAATCAACCTTGCCCCCCCCTTTTTTTTAACAGAGCAGATAATGCGTGTGTGTGGAGCTGTCAGACCAGAGGACGGGACATAATGATAGTGTCCTGAAGGATAATACCAGGGTAGAAAGAGGACAGTGCTGATGCAGCAGCTAGCAGGGACACAAGCACTGATAAAAATCTCCAACGGCGAACATAAACTTGTTCTTACAAAAAGTGACAGATGAATGAACACTCTTCATTGCCACACAGGGCTGACCCAAGCCTTTTGTGACATTATTACATTATTGTTTTAAATGATGTATTAATTGAGAAAGGTACGTTTGTTTTATACTCCAGCCTGCCCCTTACTAGCAGCAAAATCCCTGGAGTGTGGCTGGCCTTCTGAAGGCAGGACAAAATCATTTGTTTTTATTGCACTTTGTCCATTAGTATAATATTTTGTTGGTGACACATCAAAATTGAGAAACAAACACCGTGATTACTTGATAGGTGCCGCAGGATGTCATTGTTTATTATCAACTGTTCAGCTCTGTTTACCAGCACTGTACCCCGCAGGTACCCAGTATTTTCAGTTCAGATTACAAACATTACATTTGTATTTCTTGTTACAACATGACATTTCATGCAGTTCCTCTTATTTGAAATGACTATGAATGTATATGAATACTTTTTTTGGGGCAGAGTCTCTGTAGGTTCTCTGTTGTTTTCCCATTGGCATTTTCAGGCCAAAATGGCGGAAGCGCCTTCTAGCATCTAGTGTTTTGCCTCTTTGCTCCTTTACTCTTTACCTTGTACAACTATGACCTGGATGACTGAGAGTCTTCACAGCTAAGATTAGCACAGTGTACCTGGAGAACAAGTTATCAAACTGAGTTAGCTCAGTTTGATAACTGAAGTGCAATTAGAGAAAATTTGCTAACATTAGTCACCAGATGTTACTGGTCATACCAAACCAAGTTAGGCTGTAGCAGCATAACCCCTGTACCAACCCATGCACTGAATTTGTTTGTAACTTCTCATTTGTAAGAAGTTAAAAAAATGTAAATCATAAACAATATTTGTATCAGTGCTAGAAGTACACAACACCATTCACGCTGTTACATATTTAAGATCTGCTTCCAAATATCACCTTCAAACTCCAAAATGTGTTCTTCATATAATCCCAGAATTTGTTATGGCACCCCCAAATTCCTAAATGTCCACCCAACTGGAAATCACACACATTTCAGTATGTGTATATTCCTCAAGTCAGCAATATACATGCTTGCAAAAAAGGCACTTTACTGAACAAAAGATCACAGTATGACACTCACTGTTGTGTATTCGAAGTAGTAGAGGCAGTTGTCTGTCAGGATGAACCACCTCCTCTTCCAGGTTTTCACTCGGCCCCCTGACAGGAATAGGAACAGTAGACAGGAAGTGACACAAAGACCCGTCAGGAAAAAGAGCAGGGATGTGACACTCAATAATGAAGCCAACCCACATCCACTCCGTTTTCTTATTCATTTATACTTAAACATTTTATAGATATTATAAAGTAGTACTGTATGAATATTTATCAGCAAACTCAAAACTCTTACTGTTAAAAATCATAATTTAGGCACCATGGATTTTGTTCATTAGTTCACTTTTGTAATTCAATTTCAAGAATTCAAGAAAGGCTGTTTGTCATCAACCACATGATCATGCCATGTGACAATTAGACACATACATTAATACTTAACATACATAAAATGCAGTACATGCCACTGAAAATTCAAAAGGTTAATTTGTCTGATCTGAAAGGAAAGATCTGCACCTCTCCCAGGTGTTGTTGTAAACTAAGTGCTTCAGGTTAAAGCAGTATTGCGTCCACTGTGGTTACGTGTGGACACGTGAAAAAGAGAAAATTCACTTTGACTTCCTGAAATATGCAGGCAAGCCAAGTTTGAGGAAAACTGGAGCAAGCCGAGCATGTGATTACAAATCAACCACCACTATCTCTCCTATACCTCCAAGCTTAGTTAAGTGATGACTCGCGCAACTGCTAAATTATTACTGACTCTGCCTATTCATTTTTAAAGGCAACGGGATAAAACCTCATTGGCTCTCAGGAGAGGGGAGCAAGCAGCTCTTGATATGAACCTAAAGTGACACCTAAAGCACCCCTGAAGGAACACACATGTAGACGCAGACATTTAAGCAAAAAAAGAAAACCTAACACACACACAAACCCCAGAGCAAGTGCACCACCTCACGTGTCAACTTGTGCAAACTACATCCAAAAGCAAAGACAGAGAGCGAGCACAAATATCCAACATGTTGGTTTAAAGCAGAATTCAGCCTGTGATTGCACAGCAAAGTGTTGGAGGAAAACCCCACTTGCATTGAAAACGTTACATAAGTAAAAATATGTAAGTATAATCAGGGAAATGTACTTAAAGTAATGTCAAAGTACTCAATACAGACAAATATTCCATGTGATCATTAGATTATTGCATATTATATCATTAGATTAATGTAAAAGCATGTACGTTTGTTATGGTGGAGCTCATTTTTAACTATTTTGTATCAGACTGCAGCTAATGATTATCTTTATTGTTGACTAATCTGCTGATTATTCTCTCTGTTAATCGATTGACTGTTTGGTTTTTAAAAGTCTGAAAATACTGTCACAATTACCTTAATAACTGTCCAACCAACAGCACAAAATTCAATATTATTACAAGAAATGAAATAATAAAAGGGCAAAGCAGCAAACCTTCACATTTGAGAAGTTGGAACCATGAAATGTTTGGCATCTTTGGTAAAATAATGACTTAGATTATCAACATTTTCTGTCAGTTAATTAATCAGTCAATTAAATCACCTGTATTTGTATGTACTCTTGGGTGGTTTTATTTATAACTAAACAGCATGTTTTATAAGTTCTTCATGTGTTTTGTATGCAAAAATATCAAATAAATGTAGTGGACTGTATTTCTCTCTCAATTATAGTGGAGCAGAACTAGAAGGTGGCATGAAAAGAAAAGGTTCAAGTACAAGTCTCTCTAATTTGTACTTAGTACATCATTTGAGTACATGTACTTTGTTACATACCACCACTGTGAGAAACGCACATTCAAATGCAAACCTGACTTTACACACACTTGCACAAAACATGAACGTGTTTGTGTGTGTGTGTGCTTTGACCCAACATTACTGATCAGTTCCTCACAACACTAACCATCCCTCACGGTCACAACACTTTTGGACTGTAGCATTTCCTGTTTCATGGTGTCTCACATGAGCCTACATGGGCCACACATGATTAAAAGAGCTCCGGGTTTCCTTACATCTCAATAGACTCTGGCTATTGAATTAGCGTGGCCAAATTTCCGCTCTGCGTAGGGAGAGATTTGCTAATTTTCCTTTACATCCTCCAGGGTTTATTTTTAGAGAGTTAAATTAGAAATATTATAGCGAGAACTGGTGCGGGAAATGGCTCCAGGGAGGAACCGTACTAGAATGTAATCATGTTAGATCTGTGAGCCGCAGTCGGGCTATTTGCATTGGTACCCTCTAGTTTGATGAGACTACAGAGACGTTACCATGAGTTAGAGGAATGTGCAGGTCACAGCCAGGTGTGTGTGTGTGTGTGTGTGTGTAAACACAGTAATAAACCTGATCACCAGCAGTGAGTTTGCCCTTTAACCTTTGACAAACAATATCCAGGCTCTTAAACGGTTTTATGCTCAATAATAAATCAACGTCTAACAACAATTGAAAGTGTTGAAAACGGGACTTAAACGAAAGGTGATGAGATGCTGTGTACGTGCATAAAGACTGCCGGAGCTGCAGGAGGAAATGTCGTAAATGTAGTGTGAACTGCAGAGCGAGGGAGCAAATCGAAAACATATGTACACAAACAGGAACAAATGGCAAAACAGAGTGAGACCAAAATACTGTATTACCTCACTGGGGAAGCATACAACCCCATTCAGTCCCTGGCACACACACGCACACATTGAACAAATAATTACAGTGCGTGTTCCTTCCAAACTACATTAAGATGATTTTCACAAGTCTGGGTCCAGATGTGTGAACAATGCGCACACACACAAAGAACATGCCTGCACCATTTCTCACACATAAAATATTTTTTAACAAGAACTGATTGTGCCTTGAGAATGCAAACTTCCGACCATGTGTCGACATGGTTTTCTCCTAGCCTAGTGTGATGCAGTGAAGTGAAAATGAAATGTGCAGTATGTATCCATGTTTTCTTGATGAGTATTATTCTCAGGGTTGTGGGTGATGAGTGGGCCCCAGCTCCTCTTGAATAAATCTTCTTTAATCACTACCGTCGTTACAATAAAATACTGAAAACGTCACTCTCAAGGTTCACGTCTGACTGTTTACTCTGCTCAGTTACTGTTACACTCACAAATATCACTAGCAAAACGACGGCAGGTAGGAAGTAAAACTTAATTTTACTTTAACCTTTATTGTGAACCTTTCTGATGTTTGATAACGATGTACATATGATTAATACATTAAAATATGGGTGCTGTAAAGAGCCACAGTCATAGGAATGAATTGCATCTTTCAGGGTATGTTCCACACATTAACATTACTTAATCTGTTGCACACTCTGTCCTCAACTTGGCACTCGGCTTTGAGTATAAAGCCACGGTTGTAGAGAGAAAAAGAGGGAGAAGCAAATAAAGTCATCCAGGATGTCGTGCATTTCCTCAGTAGGGGGATGTGCACTAACCTAATTTAAGCAGCCAGCCCTCCCTGTCTGGGTTGAAGAAGGTGTGCGTCAAGTCATTCCCATCATCCTCTGGGATCTTAAAGGGTTCGCTCTTGATGCTGTCGTATAGATTCTGCACGGGGGGGGGACAAAAAGAGGGAACATTATGGAAAAGCATTTGTTCACATTAACAGTCAGAGAGTGAGAGACAATCATTCATATCCCAATGACTGTGAGCTGGAAGAGTGTTTTTATACTAAAATGAAGCCAAGGGCACTTTGGTCCAGGCGTCAGTTGACAGTAGATCAACTTGTTTTATGTTTTTTTCTTTGAGAGATCATGGAAAGTCATCAGCATCGATATCAGCAGAAGATCTCACTCTGCGGAGCTGCAGACATCTCAATTTGTGAAGCATGACTGTGCTTTGTGGTGGAGAAATTCAAGTCTGTTTTCTCTTTGCGTGCTGACTCAAAACAAGGTATCTATTTACACTTTCAAAGATTAGTAAGTAATAGTAAGTAATATTCCCATATGTTTAGCTGACATAATGACTCTAATACACATTACACTGGATGCATTTTTCAAACATTACAAACTAAAAAAAGTTTTCACCCTGAGTAGCTCCTCTGGGAGGTCTCCCCCCTCATTGATCCCTCTGTTCATGGAAATGAAGCGCTCCACGGGGGGCTTGTCTCTGACGTTGGGATTGTGTAGGCTTGTGTTCAGCATAATGATGGCAAACGATAGGACATAGCAGGTGTCTGTGGAGGTAATTAAAGAGTGTCACTGAGAAACATAAAATACAGCACAAGCCCATGTCTCTGTGTGTGTGTAAGAACACGTTCTCTTGCTTGGGGTTTATGGAGTAGTGTGGAAAACATCGGCGTCACCAGGTCATTTTTCCGTGGCTAACGCCCCCGGATGTTTTGACTGTAACTAAACAACAACAACATCAAAATTATTTTCTGTATTAATTATGTGGAGTGGAGGTTACTGGCAATAATATTGCTACATTTAGTTTGAAGTTAACGTAACATGACTCCCCACCGTTACTCAGCGTGCCTGCATTTAGAGTGAGCAGGAGAAAAGAGAGGGAGAGAGCGCGCATTGCTCACAGTTTCAGGGCTTGTCATTAACTACTGACTTGTCTTCAGCAAAATTGTAATCAAAACATTTAGATATAAATGTCGTCGGTCAGCTTCTAGTCAATGTATTTTGCTATACAAACGGTTAACAGTCTGCTGCAAAGTAGCAAGAGAATAACATGACACACCTGACCACGACACAGACACCTGTCGCTCTCATTACTGTCTCTGTCCTCCTCGATCAGAGACACCTCTGGTCTGTCTCTCTGCTCCAGTTTCCATCTGAAGCGGCTGGGCTGCACTTTACCAGAGCTAATATTTGTGTGGACTTTTGGTAAGATTTCTGCCCGATCGCAACTGTTTTCAGTTTCGGTTTTGCACCTCTGATGAAGATCAGTGCGCTCGTCTCATCCAGTACAGTCCCAGAGGGGCTCTGTGTCTGTCATAGAGTCTAAAAGGGGTAGCCTACTAACATATCAGCAGAGCAATATCGCAGGGTAATGCACAGCAGAAAGGCAGGTAGATTTTGTAAAAATATTATGAGTTCATTCTCATGAGATTGCGATTTTATTCTCGTAATATTACACTTTTGTCTCAAATTATTTTTCTGCAAATGTCAGAAGACAAATATGTGGGAGAGATTTAGAATGTGCAGAAAGTTTTGAACCTGAGCAGAAAACACAGAAGCTATTAAGTTTATAACTGAATTAAAATTAATTAATTTATCATTGAGTTGAAAAGGTGCCACATGCACATGTAAAGAGGTCGTGCCTACATGTGTGTTGACTCAGCAGAGATGAAATAAAATGAGAAAAGTTCTACAGGAGGAACATATCTGACAGCATACAGAGAGCCTTACTTCATCATGTTAAGACTTTATTTTTATATTCTGAATTGTCACCTCATTTTTGTTTTTCCTTTTACAAAAATAAAGAATTTTCCTCAATAAATTACTGCAGAAAAACAAGATTTCCGGGCTGGACTAAGCCCCCGATGTTTCAAGAGCCTGGAAACTCCCCACTGGTGGAAAATATTAAAACAGCTGACCTTTTACATTTAGGGAATATGGCAGACTCTAGTCTAAAGGGGTACACAAAGTACATTTGTCCGATATGCAGAGTTGTCCAGGGATAACTCTAAACAAGTGAGTCTTGAGTCTCTTGCGGAAACTGGTGACCGACTCTGCTGTCCTGACATTGTCTGGGAGCTCGGTCCACCACTATGGTCCCCGGGAACACAGAAAAGAACATCTGTATATAACTTTATAAGGATAATTTACTAGTTTCTATTTACCACATTTAAAAGAAAATCCAAAACCTAAAACAAAATTTCCAACATTTTCTTGAACCAAAACTTTAGCTGATTTCCAAAGAGGCAATGGGCTGCACAGTGGGAGATATATCCATCAGTTATTATAATGGTATTGGGAGGACAACACAAATGGTTTGTGATTAAATAGACAGCCAGCTATCCATCAACAGATTTTCCCACCAGCAAATTTTAGGACTCTGTGTAATAAAAGGAGAGTTTAATCAACAAAGAGGCCCATATTCTGGGTCACACACACACACACACACACAGACACACACTCATGGCGCCCTCCAAGGCCATTCAGCAGTGAATTGTTTCCCCGCAGTCATGAACACACACATACAAATCCGTGATCCACTGCTCTTGTGACTCCACATCATAACTCCTGCTAACCATCCTCCACCTCATCCATCCACACACCAACCACCCCAAGTCAACAGCCCCTGCACTGTAAATTTATGACTCTGAGCGCACCGGTCCTGAGAGATGACCAATAACTTTGTCTGGGTGTGTCACCACTGCACCACATCAATATTCACAACCTGAGCTGTCACCTGTGTCCTCCTCCACACTCGCTCGGTTAACACAGGAGCAGCAGGCGATGTGCAACGGGCCAAGACTGCACTAATGACCACTATTGACCCGTGATCAATTTCATTATCACTGCTGGAGACACAAATAGTGATTACACTGCGATTAGTGAGCAAGCTGCTAACTATTGTGGAAAACTGAGAAGACTGTCAGCCTGGTCAAGCTCAAAATATCTGGGAACAATTACATAAACCTCCATCAAATTCTATATTTATGCAGTTAGAAAGTAGTAGTTATTTTCTCCAGTGTTTTAGGAAAATCTACAGTGTTGTGGCCAAATTCTAAAGATTTATACAGCCCAAACAGGCCCAGCTGTCTGTGTGTGGGGGAAGACAGACAGTAAGAAGCATTGATCTGAAGCTGAGGTGGTCTGGCTGGCCCATGTTATCTGTCCTGGACTGTCTGGCTGTGTCTGACTCATATATCTTCTGCACTGTATTTGTGCATGTGGTGTGTGTGCATGTGGGCTACCTGTGGACTGGAAGACGCCAGGATTGCATTGGCAGTACCTGGAGGCAAATGCCTCCATCATACGATCAATCTTCTGGGCTTCGCCAGGAAGTCTGAAGCTCCACAGAAACTGCCTACAAAAGCAGGAACAGAGATGGCAGATCATGATATATTGATGGAAATGTAAAGAATAGCATATGGAGGATGTTCACTGTAAATTACAAACCCCTTTTTACATTATTATTAAGAAAGGACAGAACCTATGGAATAAATTAAGACAGCCTCGCTGAGAAGGTTTTTGGTTTTAGAAAAACACAAACAATAATAAAGAGAGTCACCGATCTGAGTAATTTGGCAACGAGAACTCTCTTTACTGACTCTTGAACAAGAGACTCAGAACAAAACAGTTTCATGATGAACAGTGCCATGTTCGTGTCATATACTTACCCATAACTACCCATTTCCGATTTGTAAATAGAGTTCACATAAACATCTAAATCAAAATTACGACTGGAAAACTCTTATGAAAGCTCAAAATATTCAATGCTTAATAATACAGAAGTGTCTGAAAAAGTGAACTGACTTGGATGCCTCGCAATAGCCAAAGTCCGTTAAACGGTTAAAACAAATTTAACTTGGATCATATTTAATCTCCTCACTAGTTCTTGTGGGATTACACCCATGCCGTTAACTCACCTTAAGGCTTGCACGAGGTTGAGGTCTGCAAACTCATGAAGCTCGACAAAGGCCTGGAGGACCTTGATATTAAAATCATCCCTGGAGGAGCAGAGGATTTGTCACACATGTTTAACCATTTACACTCTTCAAACAGAAACAGAAGAAACTGACACTACATAGTTAATCTGGGATTCATTTTGGAAAAAAGCACTGCAGTGACAAATTCATACATTTCGGGGGTCAAGGTAGACAGTAAAATTCTGCAGCCACAGTCACAGCAGATCAGAACAGAAAGCCACTGTGTCGGCTGAAATCCCTGTTGTTTTGACAGTCCCATTACCATTGATTTCCCTTCGATAAGAACCACATGTCTGCTCAGTTATTTTACTAGCACGGCCTCCCGTCACTGCTTTGCTCCATAAATCCAGACTACCAATTTCCTGGGGCTTTATGCCCTCGTCTGAGTGCATGCAGTGCAGATCTGACAAAGAGATAGGGAGAGGAAAAAGAAAAGTGGAAGAAAAACAGAAGGAAAACTCACCGTTCCCCTAAGTAGTCCCCGATGACTGTTTTGTTGAGCCCCTCGCCTTTGTAGAGAAACTGTGCAATGTCCTCTGGGGTGTTCTGGAGAAGATCGTTCTCCAAAAGAAACTGGATCCCCTGTTCAAAAAAAAGGAAAGCGCATACTTGCACTTCAATTACATATTTTGGTCTGTTTTAACTGATGGATGGCTCTGAGAAATTTTCAATCAGATCATAGAATTGTAATTCAGCTGCAACAGTGTTACTGATCAGTTTAAAGGTAGAGGCCTGACCTTTTTCGGGTCCATGTTGAACTTCTTCCTCCCCATGGCGATCTGTTTGTTTCTTTGCGTGGTTTTGCTGCAGTAAAACAAACACAGAAACATCTGTCATGTGACAGTTAAGGGTGTGGTGTTGTCAGCATGCTGCTGGTGTTTGTTCAGTAGATCAGTTTTGGATGGGTTCATCCAGGTCCGGCCTGACTTTGTTGATTTAGTCCTCTGTTAGTGTACAGTGGGTTTAAACTGACCAAATGGGAAATACGCTAAACGTGGCTGCAGAACGTGCATCCAGTCAGTTTAACCCACCCTGCAGCCAATATTTCCCATTTAAATGTCACTCTTCTTCAAAACACATTTTGCAAGCACCCCACAGGGAAATCTCCAACTTTGTGTCTGTGCATGCTCCCTACGCTTCCTGTGTGCCCAAAATAGCACAAGCCCCTTTTCTAGCTACACCTGAGACAAACACACACACACAGCCTGACACGCAGCCTCACTCCACCTCATCAACCGATGGAATGAAAGCCTCTCAATATAGACTGTTTGGTTAATGTTTAGTCAAGGGACTGTCCCATTTCACTCTACCAACAAAGGGGATTAACACTCACACACACCGACAGTTGTGAGGCTCACAGCGGAAACAACTACATGGCTTTGAGGAGCAGAGGAGGCAAAAGAAAGAATTCTGAAACGATTTATCAATTAATCAATAAGTGAATTGACTTTTATCAACAACAATTTTGATAATTAGTGAATAGGTTAAGACATGCAAACATGCCAAACATTTGCTGGTTCCAGACGATATAAATACGAGAACAGGCAAATGTTGTATCAGTACAAATTAATTTTCTTTGGGTTTTAGACGGACAAAACAAGCAACATGAAGAAATTACCACTGGGAAATGGTGATGGGTGTTTTTCACGATTTTCGGACATTTGACTAAGCATTTGAGAGCATCAATGATTAGTTCATTCATTATTAGTCTGCAACTATTTTGATAATTTTAAAATAACTTTCTTAAAAGTTAGTATTTTATTTTCTGCTCAACTCTTTACTAAAGAACTTACCTCTCCCCTACACAGGTTAGCTGCTCGATCTCAGTCATCACCTCTGCAATCTCAAACTTCAGCCGCTGCAGAGAAGACAACAGCAAAAGAAATCAGTCGCTCATTTCATCTATTTGAGTTTGCGTTTCATTTATTCTAATAAAAAGACAGACAGGGGGAGGACAACATGGACCCAGCTGCAGCTCTGAAGTCAGTAATTAAATATTGTCCAGGAGGTTAATTTGACACTTATATACTATTTAATATCAGAGGGCATCCTAATGACATGTTTCCTTATAGTTAGGTCTGTGTGATATGGTGAAAATCAATATTTCAATCTTAACTGGATCATCTTAATAGGACAGTTTTGCCATGGCAATGGAAAGCAATTAAAAGCAGTACTTTTCATATATAACAGGACATATTACAATATAGCAACTGCATGCAAAAATCTCGTAAAATAATTTCACTAATGTTTAATGCTAATATGCAACATTGTTCATTAAATGAGTCTTCATTCACAATTTGCTCAGAATGATTAATTTATAACGATTTGATCATATTTCTCAGCCCTACTTTGACGGATAATACTTTTAATTTAAAAGTCGATTTAAAAAAATCAGCTTCAGACTGTTACTCACTTCAATATCATCCAGAAGCTCTTTTTTCCTGCGCCGTATGTTTGACAGCTCATCTCTTTCCTCCAAAGACAAGTCCTCGGGGACTGGAAAATACAGATAGATGAGAATATTATAGATAGAGAGAGGGAGAGGGAGGGACAGGGTTATGAGGATGGATTAAATGAATTCACCTTCCGACCAGCCAGTCAGAGTCACAGGGATTAAGCCTGACAGCACATATCTGTTCAATGAATCCATCCCAAAGACATTACTCATGACCTAAATGAATACACTAACAGACAAGACTTCATTCTATCTCAGATATGTTTGTCCCATGGCAGATTGAATTACCCACTCATCCAACACATGAAGCATTTACCCAATTCTCTAACAAACAGTTAACACTTGGGACAGTTAGGAGTGAGTACGTACAACCTATCAATACTTTAACTGGAGCAGAGTTTGGAAAAACATTAAATATCATAGAACATATTCTACTACTCGCATTTTGTACCATATGAAGTTGTTGGCATGTCTGTAGTGTGAGTTATGCTCCAATAGTTCTACTGGAACAAATTAAGTCTATGGATACTAGTAGTAAACATGTGTGTCTGATATTATAGGTTAAAATGGTCCCACTCCTAAATGACGGGTTTTTGCTTAATCTATCACAGTCAAAATGAAAGCAGTGTATCTCACAGGTGTCTGCAATTGGCAGCTTTCTTTTACTGGAATAGCCCTCGTATGTTATCTCAAAGACATTGGTTCCTTTCATGGTTGAACATTATTTATTCGGTACAAGGGCTACCAGAAAATATGCGGCAAAGGCATAAAGTTTTGGTTCAAAGTTGCTGATGAAAATGCAATAACGGATTATTTTAGGCCACTTGGGATCAGCGGAAATAAGGTGTGAACACAGTACTGACATCACCTTGAAAGTTTAAAAGATTAACTTTTTAGCAAACAGCTGCTTCTTTACATATCCAACAGACAGAGAGCAACACTAGCATTTGTTTGTGTCCAACATTCACTCTCTTTTAGCTCCGTTTTTAGCTGGACAGCTAAACAATGAGCAGAAACTCAATACTAAGCTCCGCTAAGCCAAGGGGGACCAGAGGTTCAAGAGATAATTCTCTGTAGATTCATCACTACATCGACCCGTTTCACATTGTCACATTGTCATTTGATACACTGTTATTATAAAATTTCAATTATAGCTGCTTTAGGTATACAAAATGTCTGGATGATAAATGTGCGTGCAGGTAGAAAATGCATATACTGAAGGCACTGCCATTTTCTTGTAACCAAAGGACAGGGAGGAATTGTTCTTCTGTTTGTTTATATCTCATGTAGTTAATTCATTCCTTCATTTAAAAAGTGTAATTTCCCACCTTTGTACAGTACCTCTTTGCATTATATACAATGTTATGCACTTATAAAACAAAGCAGGTGCCACAAATGAGGAAGAAGTTTGTGTTGAGAATCTTCTTTCAAACCAAATTAAAACCACACAAACGTCCCTGTTGAAAAGCAGATCACTTCCATAAATAACATCCTGTGGGTTTGACACATTCACACACACACACACACACACACACAGACCACTGAGCATCTGGCGATGGCCTGCCCCTTCAAATATTGGCTCTCTGACAGTCAACTCTTGTCGAGCCTTCATTTGTGGTAATTAACACTGCAGAGAGAGAGAGAGAGCGGCACATCACGCAACATGCATGTTTTACTGCGCGAGCACACAAACACTGTATACACAGGTGAGTACACACTATACATGCCATGCATAATGTAGAATTTGCACTTCACACACGTTTAAAAACATTTATTTTATTCTACTCTTTTGGTCCCCTAGAGTCCCCTACTTATCGTTCATTTAACCATGCCACGTCAACTTCTTCCACCCCAGACACCTCAGTGGACCTCCCCCTCTCTCCTCACACACACACATCAGAAAATACCAATCCATTTGAGAGTGGGCTGACAGGAAGTAGGTCAATTTCATATGGAGCTATAATAGATTGTGCTTCTCCTACGCTGTTTCTCTCTCTCTCTCTCACACACACACACACACACACACACACACTCTTTGTCCGCCTCCACCCCAGTGCTTGAAGTGGGGGTGAGAGCAGATCCAAATCCCACAACTGAATCATACCACTAAGTAGTTTTGCAATACAGACGTTTCCCCCCAACTGTTGTTTCTCCCTTGACTGTAAATAATGGAAAAAGAAAAGTAATGTTACTTCCTCTCCTACTATCTATTGTATCTCTCTCTCACACACTCTTCAAATCCTTCCATCTCCTCTGTCTTGCTCTGAAGACAAAGTGACAGAAGCAGCATGCACCATTAAGTTATAGGGCTTGAAGCTCATGTTATCACAGGCGAGCAGACAGTCAAGAGAGCAGGCATCCAGATGGGTGCAGATGGCTTTTTTAACTGTGTGATCATCTATCTCTCTCACACAGTGATGCTCACACAGTCTCTACCAACTTCTAGAGGAAACAAAATGGGCAGACAAGAGAGGAGAGTCTTTTACTAAATTTAAAAAGATATATAAAAAGGTAAAAAGAGGAAATGTTTTTAGATGATTATAGAAAGGTGCAAAGTGGGTTAGACGCTAATGAGGTATAAATACCATGTCTACCAAGCATTGTGCAATTGAATGATGACTCACCCTTAACTTGTCAAGATATCAAAAAATTATTTTACTGCCGTGACTGCAATGAAGATAATTGTGCAAATGCTCTTACGGGTTTTAAGACAGCTGCTGCTGATTTAATTAAATCCTATATTTATTGTAAAATGTTATATTATTATATTATATATATGTCAAGTAAAAAAAAATAATTTTAGGGGCGAGAGAGAGTTAATGGGACTGTGTAGATAGATGATTGAAGGGTATTGTTTTCCCCATACATTTTTCTTTTCCCTTTTATTCTTTTTTTTTTTGCTTTTTAAAAATCTTTTTTCCTTACTTTGTGTTCATCGTGATTTTTAAAGGCAATTTAGATACTATTAGACATGTATTTGCCGGGGACTTTATGAATCTACTCCACAGACTGGAGGAAAAGAACAGAAAGAACCAGGTAAGACCCGACACGAAAATTTGTTTCATCTTCTGTCTGAACAATCGACTGTAAGAAGTGGACGTAATCATCGTGGCGTCACCCGTTGGTTTGTGGACTGCCGTTTTGAAGCCTTGAGTTTAGTTGATAGAGCTTAAAACTAAATGTACTCACCAGAGAAAGTGAACAGCCAACTCCTAATAAGTTTTTTCAACGCCGCTGGTTAAATTTACACAGTGCCGTGGGTACGAGTCACTCTAGCCTGACTGACAGGTCACCATGGTAACAACTTGTCAACCATAGATAAGCCCGCACTGAAGCATACTCTGCTTTATGATCTATTTTCCTCTAAATAGGACCATAATTTACTAAACAAACATCATGTTGTATTGAAGCAGACTTGAAACTAGCGACTAGAGTCATTTTTCCATTATTTCTAATGGAGCCGAACTTCTTTTTGCAACAAAAAGAGTCGCTCCCTGCTGGCTGTTCGATAGAATGCAGGTTTAAGGGACTTCCACATTGGCTTCGCGTCTCAGACCGGAAGCTTTGCGCTTGGTCTGAACACACCTTTACTTTGCATTTGTATATAAAAAAAATTAATAACTGATACAAAGTTGCCCATTTTGCCTAGATGTTTAGATGTCCTTTCTAGTGATGGCAGTGTGACACTGAAGCTTCGATACGTGCTTCAAACCATGAACTACAATCCCATTGAACCACTGCTTCAAAGCTTGCTTTGGTGCGAAAAAAATCCTGTGACATATGACGTCCGAAGCAGCAATATCCAACCTATGCCATATTTCCCCAGCAAGCTCTCCTCAATAACACAATACACACATTCATCAATCTTTATTTGTATATTAATACAACATGATGTTCAGTCTTAATGTGTGCGCATCAAAGAATTTTCAAAGTAAATATACTTTAAATTTGAGGGTGATTAAAGCAAAGATGCTTCAGTACTAAAGATCTTTTCTACAAAAGTAAAGTAGTTTCACTGGTGCGTGCGTGTATGAAATTAAAGGCCTCCTGTCCACCAACAAGCCTGCCTAATTTGACTGCAGCTTTGCACTTCGCCAGGAGAGGCCACTGTAACTGAAGCTTCGAGTAATGAACCCATTTTCCAAACAACTGGCTCAAGTGGTTCAGTGCTTCACAAAAGCTTAATTTACCCATCACTAGCCCGGGCACGGAGTTTGCATGTTCTCCCCGTGTCCGCGTGTATTCTCCCCAGGTACTCCGGCTTCCTCCCACCATCCAAAGACATGCAGGCTAGGTTAACTGGTGTCTCTAAATTGTCCTTAGGCGTGAATGTGAGTGTGAGTGGTTGTCTGTCTATGTGTAGCCCTGCGATGGACTGGCGACCTGTCCAGGGTGTACCCCACCTTTCGCCCAATGTCAGCTGGGATTGGCTCTAGCCCCCCCGCGACCCTGTACACAGGATAAGCGGTTGACGATGGATGGATGGATGGATGGATAGTCCAGGCACTTTAGGCGGATTTATTGAAAGAAATGGAATATAATATACATAACTGCGTTTTCAGTGGTGTATAAAGACCTTACGTAATGAACCGTTATGTTTTTATTATCTTAGAATGAGCCATTTCTATCTACATACACCATGGTCCTCTTACATGGACGTCAACATGTTGCGCCGACATGTTTCTACAGTGGCCTGAATGGATGGCTCTTGGCAGAGCGTGTATTGTCACTACGTTGAATACGTATGAAGAAGAACAAGAAGAAAAAGTAATGTTAGGAGTAGTAGTAGCAGTCGACTGGTTTATTAGAAGTAATAAAAGAAGAGAAATTTGGACAAACGGAGGCCCACACGTATTATTTAGCGCAAGAGTTGACAGAGCGTGTCGCCATCGTAGCATCTCCTGCGTGTTCGGAAAGGGAGGGGCTGAGTGGTGACTGATGGTGCATTCATGTAGTGTCAGAATAACATTTAGTCTAATAGTCTTTTTTTCCTCCTTAAATCTTTATTGCAAAAAGAGAAATAGTGTACATGGGACATAAA